GGCGAGACCTCATCTCTCAATAAATCAAAAATTAGCCAGGCGTGGTAGCGCGTACCTGTAGTTCCAGCTACTTGGAAGGCTGAGGCGGAAGGATCGCCGGAGCCCAGCAGGTGGAGGCTGCGGTGGCCGGGAGCGGCCACTGCACTCCAGTCTGGGTGACTGAGTGAGATTCCAACTCAAAAAAAAAAAAAAATGGTCCCTCATAGTCCTTCTAGTTTTGGCATCTAAACTCGCCTGGAAGTTATGATGGCCAGGTAAGACCCTTCTACGGGTAGGGAAACATACTCAGAGATTAAACCTCTTACACCAGAACACACAACTAAGCTAGTGGGGCCAGAACTGGAACAGGACCCAGGGTTTGTCTGACGCAATGATCTTGCCGTCTCTGCTCTGACCTAACCTTATTTCTTTGGACGTGGGGTTCCTTCTCTGGGCCACAGTGTGGCCTTGAACTTGAACTCATAACTTGGGTATTCATCGGCAGCACTAAGAGGAGCTGTGGTACTTGGAACAGAGAAACTTTTCAAAAAGGCAGAGAGTCAGAAATCATAAAGAAAAGGGTGCATAGGTTGATTTTTTTTTTTTTTTAGAAATTTATGCCCAGCTCTATAAATTATAAATGGACCATAATACAAAGAAAGACAAACAGGAAAAAAATTGCAATATATAAAATGATTAATATCCCTACTGCACAAAGAGCACTGAAATCTATAAACATTACCCAATAAAAAAGACACAAAACTGTGGGCTCGGTGGCTCAGCCTGTAATCCCACACTTTGGGAGGCCAAGGTGAGTGGATTGCCTGAGCCCGCGGGTTCGAGACCAGCCTGGGCAACTTGGCGAGACTTCATCTCTACAATAAATAAAAAATCAGCCGGGTGCAGTAGCGTGCACCTGTTGTTCTGGCTACTTGAAAGGCTGAGGTAGAGGATCTCCGGAGCCCAACAGGTAGACACTGGACAACAGAGTGAGACTCCAACTCAAAAAAAAAAAAAAAACCCCAAACACACACACACACACAAACTGGGAGTTTACAAAAGAAGAAATCCAAATATATAACGTTATCTATCCATGACATGTATTCTTGTACGAGATTCTACTCAGTTAGTGAAAGGCTTTCCTCAAGCCATGAATCAAATCAAGCAACTCCGGTTCCTCCTTGAAACTCCCCCACACACTCTCTGAGTTCCAGCTCTGTGGGCAGGTGGGGACCGACTGGCAGTCTAGGGCCTCGGGTCACGCCA